CTTAAAAGAATTATGGAAATTCTAGAAGCAGCCAGTTCTACCTGGTGCTGGATGTGGCCAATTTGACGACGCAGGAAATGGAACTGGAATACACCAAGTCGAAGCACATGCTGATTGAAGGGCAGGAAAGCTGCAGAGTCCCCATTCCGGTGAATCGATGCCCTTTGTCGAAATTATCAGGTATACAACTGCGGGTATTTCTCGAACTCCAGCCAGTTGCTTCGAAATGTTCCAGATTACTACGAAGAACCGGATCAGTCGAAGAATATAGCAGCCATCAGCAAGATTTGCTCCGAACACATATCGGAGCTGGTGAAGCTGAAGTGGCTGTTGAATCCCACCGATTCGGAAGGAGTAGCTTGCTTGAAAGGCATAACTTTGAACAGCCGGATGCTGAATATCGTCAGAATGTCGCCCTTGCAATGGGGTGAGTTTGCTTTTTTTTGCTTAATGCATTCTTGACTGCAACTCTCTTATAGACATTAAGATAAATGGGGACACGTTTAGCTCCCAAGAAGATTTGTCGTGTGAAGCTGGTGATTGTATGGAACTGCAAATGAGCATCGCAAACAGTCTGGAAACGTCCTTAAAAGAACTAACACTTTCCGTCCAGTTTTATCAGGACTACAATAACGGCACTCTGAACTATAGGATGGACACCAGACTGGCCATTTCTGGGGCTTCAAAGTACAAGCACAACACCCACAGACCAATAGTTTTTAAATGCGTTTTTTTTTTAGGAAAATACTATCTAGCCTAGAGCCAAAAGATACAGCCAATCACAGGTGCAATGTGGTTTTCTTCACTCCGGGTCTTTACAAGCTGGATATTCAGTGCTACACTCCAGACGCCAATTCAGCGAGTGCGGCACCTTTACTTAACACTGGACACGTCTGGAGGTTCACTCCCGCAATTTCCATTCAAGTTAAATAGTATTAAGGCTGAAACTAATGGGTTTTTAGGCCCTCGTTCGGTAGAATTTCTTCCTGACGTTTCGCAAGCACGAGTGGCTTGCATCTTCAGAAGTGGTTTGGTTGAACGCTTACACTGTTCTCATCAGAACCCGCGTTCAGTTCTTCCGCAGAACTGATCGGGTTCTGATGAGAACAGTGTAAGCGTTCAAGCAAAC